AATGAAGTGCCTTTGCCCGACTGTCCCATTCACACAAAAAACAGCAAAACTTTGTGTAGCCTAGCTGCAGCCCAAGTAAAAGTGCAACAACTTTCAAAACGCCACAAATATGCCATTGGTGCTCATCGTATTTTATGCATGTCAATAGGTACTTCATATTGTCATATGATTCTTTCATGTGAACTGCATACCCTACAGGAAGAGATGGTAAAATATTTCCAATATGCAATAACACTGCCTTTAAACTCAATGTTGAACTGTCTATAAACAATCTCCATTCTTCTGGGTTATAGTTTATATTTAAAGCCGCCAGTAAGCCGTTAATGTTACTGCAGAAAACCAAGTTATTCTCCATATTGAAAAATGGTTCTAAGACTTTGTGGCGTTTACGAAAAACACATACCGAAACATCGTCTTCTAACAAGTTCCACTGCTGCAGTCTTGATCCAAGTAACTCTGCCTTACATTTTGGAAGTTCTAAATCTCTTACAAGATCATTTAATTCTGACTATGTTATTTTGTGCGGTTGGTGGCATGACGTGCTCGGTATAAAATCAGGATCTCTTGACGTTGATGGCATATCTTCTTCCTGACGAATCACTCGATCGCCATGATCTGATTCGTTTTCTGATTCGCAAGTGTAGGATTCTGGGGGTTTTGGAATATTATTTTCGTCACTGTGAGGCACAGGTCTCATCGCAGATGGTATGTTTGGGTAGTTAATAACCGATTTTTTTTTCTTGGACATACCTGTGGCTTGTCCAACACAAGGTACCATGCAAAAGTAACAATTATTAATATGATTTGTAGGCTCTCTCCAAACCATTGGGACAGCAAAGCGCATAGACCGTTTTTTGCCATTTCACCAGCTCCTCAGACTTGAAGCACATGTATTACAGCAGATGTGGGGTGCCCACTGTTTGTCTTGATCACCTAGTTTACAACCGAAATAAAGCTGATATGCCTTTGTTATTAGTGGAGTAATAGACCGTCTCTGAGACGCAAAAGTCACATCACCACACACGTAACGAAACTGATCTGGATTGTTTACACACTTTCGAGACATCTTGCATGAACGCTGTCAGCTAACTGAGGAAAAAATGGCTAATATACGTTAAAACAATATAATGTACACGTATGTATAACGTAACACAATCATGCCGATTACATCATCTTTCCTTGCCGAATATAAAAATGTAGCACGTGCATTCTTGTGAATTACAGTATATTAACACTGTCACAGCAGGAACACATATAATTACCGTATCTCTAAAACTTGAACTAATATTGAAAAAATAAATAGCACATTAAAAATAGTAATATTTTGTTGATTTTATTTAGGATATTTTTTGGCTGTAATTATATAAATTTGACATTGTAGCATTAATATTAAATAAAACTTCAACAAAAAATTAACTAGATGTCGCTCCAGTTTTCGTCTGATACTCCCAGTCAGTCTGCTAACTTCTTTATGCCCTTCTGTAATTGACTAACAGATTAAACATTATAATCTCTCAATCATGCAGACAAGCCTATTGTATCACAAATAATCGCCAAGCAGATTTTTCCGCAGCCGTATATCTCAAGTATAAACATACACTCATGAATCGTAGCAATCAGCGAATGAATGAGCGCTGTCCTGAACCTTTAATGTTTACCCGTTTAATTTGGACCGAAACATATGTCGGCTTTTTTGGCTTTCGGCTTTCTCCCTGTGCCTTGCTGTAAAAAATACAATGAACAGCCAGCCGGACGATACGATTTTAATATCTTTGTTGCATATACCTACTACCTGCTTTACGAGGACAATGGGTTCAAAAAGTTGTATGTATATTCGTGGAAAGTCAAGTAGCTTGACTCTTTTCGGAAATATCAAAACCGGAAAGGCCACGAAGGCGGAGGAAAAATGTATTTTAAGTGCTTATTCTTATTTTTTGTATCGAGAAAAAATAGCGTCAAGTAGGTTGACTGTATGGTATATCTGAAGTCACTTGAAATAGCATAAAAACCTTTGGTCGGCGCGTCCTTTGTAATTTCATGACGTATCATAGGCGTGCGGTGATTTATTTAGAACGATAATAATAATGTTTTTATATCACAATAAATGGATTTTACTATCTTCTTATTTTTTTGATTTGGGATAAAAAATACTTATATTGGGAGTTTAATTTATGTTGACTGAAAGTGGAAAAATTACAGAATTCCAACGTTTGACATAGGCAAATATTTACATAGCAGATAGGTATATAAAGAGGTATATAAAGACTTACATTATAGGTATTTATATATCATCCTCGCCTTCGGAGCTGTCGCTAGAGTCATCTTATAGAGGAATTACAACGGGATTTACAGGAGGCAAAACACAATATTCATTTTCTTTTTCAATAATAAGCCTAGATCACTGCTTCCATAGGTCTGTGACAGCAATATGAGATACTGCATCTCTTATTGTGGCCAATAGCGATTCACTTAATTGAGGGGTCTGATTATGTTTTCTTACTTTTTTTTTTAAAGCAGCCCAGACCAACTCAATCGGGTTAAAAATGCAGTAATAGGGAGGTAGACGTAATACTTCATGGCCATTTTGCTGAAGCAGATTGTCAACAACATACTCTTTTTCAAATTTTTGTCTTTTAATAAGATCCAATAATATGGCTTTGGTTGATTTTTGTGGTATTTCCATTCCCTTATCCTTCATAAAATCAATAATGTCTTGTTTTTTTGTGCCTGTATTCGGAATTTTGTTTTTCTGTCGGGAATGGTATGGCGCATTGTCCATAATAATCACTGAATTTGGGGAAATGTTTGGTATTAACTGCTGCTCTATCCACTTTTCAAATAAGTCGGAGGTCATGTCCTCATGATAGTCGGCACATGATTCTTTGATATTTTTGGCAGATAACAGCAAGGCATTAGGTATAAATCCATTTTCACTGCCAGCATGGAGAATAATGATTCGTTTTCCACGGTTGCATGTTGCATTTAAAATGCACCTGTTGCTGTCGTCAACCCAGCCGTACTGCACAACATCATGGGTATCTTACCACGTTTCATCCAGGTAAATCAGATTTCTTTTCTGCTCTCTATAGATTTTAAGTTTGTGCAAAAATTCTTGGCGCAATTCAACGATTCGAGACGACTCCATAATCACCATTCTTTTATCTAATTTTTTGTATTGAAAACCACACAGTTTTACAATACAGTACAGTGAGTCTAAGCATTTGTAATTATAAAAATCTTCAGGATAATCTTTTAATTTATCCCGTATCATTTCCAACGTGGGCACCAAATTTTCTTTATAAAATCCGTATATTATACGACGAATATCTTCCTGAAAACCCATGTCTATTCTTTTTAATTTTTGCCCTATGCGCTTTCTGTGGAAGGAATGGTTGACTACATCTCCCCTTTTTATAAACCGATAAATGGTAGACCGACTGATTTTTGTCAGGATACAAATTCTGTTTAAAATTTGATTTTGCGAGGAGTCTGGATTTTCGTTTTTCAAACAATCATACATATTTAGGATTACTCTTTGGGTCTGTTCCTCTAAATCTTTATGAAAGAATTCTGCCTGCACAGGTTCATCAACCATCTCCTCGTGGCTTGGAGCATTTTCCCAAGGTCTCCAAAGAGCCATATTTAGGACACACAAGAACAATCAACACAACAATTAAATCAACAAGTAAACTGAGTATTCAACAGTCAAAAACACACAAACTAATAAAATCTATGAAAAAACACGGACAGACTAAAGAAAACACGTTTATTCACCGCTACACGGCACTGGCTAAACTGTTTCAATTTTCAGTAGCCACCTGCACTTGTTCGGAGCTCTGAAATACACGCTTTCTCATTGGCTATGTCCACGCATAGGCGTGCTTTACTCGACGTGGACCGGTGAAACTGCCTTTGATCTTATACGGGGGATATTTGCTGCGAAATTTGGCGATTTTTGCAGCAACAGAGCGTGTTAAATATAGATATATAAAACGCACCCGGTATTTCACAGTGTTTCAAGTGACTTCAGATAAAGTATACTTGCCACGCGATTCTGGTCAAATGGATTTTGTACAGGGTATCCGACTAAGAATGCGAGATATTGTATATGGGAACCTATCCATCGTAGAGGCTTGCGGCAAAAAAAGTTCACACCAAAGAGAAAAACCTGGAAAATGTTTTCAAGTTGCTGAAATGGCCGCCAGGGGGCGTGACTGCAATCTTAAATTTGAAAAAGTGTGAAGCCTGTTATTCAAGCTAACAAAAAAACAACTGATCTTTGACGTGGAGAATGATGTGAATTTTTTGTTTGACAGTTCTTGCTGTATCTCTAAAAATAAAGTGGTGGGTGGTATTCAAAGCTAAACAAGCTCGCGAAAACCGCATCTCGATATTTTATTGTTAACCGAAAATTTTGGAGACAGAAAATTTTACGCGGAAATCCTTTAAATTTTTATTCTTTAACTAATTTTTTTGGAATTGTTTTTTATTCATCAGAATAAAATCACCCCTTTTGCAAATATTACAAAATATTATCATTTTTGATTCTAAATTATCGTTTAATTATCATGTTGAACACATTAGAAATTCAGCAATGAAAAAAATCAATTTTTTAAAGAGATTTACAAGAGATTCAGAACTCTGTGCTGTAACAGTTGCCTTTTATTGCCGATGAATCATATATGTTTTTTTGTTGTTGTTGTTGTCGCACAGATTTAATTTGAAGTAATGCAGCAAGAAATTGAGAAGGAAGAAACAAAAGTCGATAATCTAATCTAATAATCTCCGAAGCATATTATTTTTATTCATAGCATATTATTAAATCAATTTTATTGACAAAAATGACTAGACCGGCCCATTGGCTTGTTTTTAACGGTGTATTTAGCTATATTTTTTTCACGTAATCCATAACCAAAATAAATAACACGCAGACATTTACCTATTATCAAGTTTATTTGAAATAACAAACATAACACATGAATACCACGGAATAACTATAATTTTTAATTTGTATCCGTTGTTTTTCTCAATCAATTAAACATAATCCATCCTGATCTATTTTATAATCCAAAATAATTTTAGTATCATCTCCACATATTTTCATAAATAACTCGGTTGCTTCCATCCCATGCTAGATCTTCCACCGTCAAGAAATCAATTCAATCTCGAAATTTCCGCCTCGGGGATTTGTTTACATCCCAACAACAATCCGGTTTGTCATTCCGGAGCTAAAAATAAATAAATAAATAAATGTACATCTATAAATTGATATCACCTTCTGAATTGATAACTATTTATGTTGCATATTATTACTCACCTATTGGACTATGTATTTCCCTTATAGTCAGATGAATTTATTATTGTTTTCTGAAATCTTCCAATGTCAAAGGCTGATGTCGCTGATGTCGAGGTACTATTCTGCGTACCGAACTACTTGCACACCTCGCTTGTTCCGCATAGTTGCCAATTTTATTTCAGAATTTCCTTATGTTTATTAATCAATCAAATTTATATGCAGATATGACAGTGTTGCCACATTTATTCACGATATTTCCTTGAATTTATATTAGGAACCTTCTCATTTTCGGATTAGCCGACAACGTTTGGCTCTTAAGCCGGGTTTACACGGGTCAAGTATACGGTCAAGTTACTTGCCTTCGCACTTGCGTGGTTGCATTCTACTTTACTTGGTTCACAACTTGATCCAAAAGGCGCGTTTCCACGTAGTCCAGTAGATGTGCAAGTCGACATGGTCCTAAGTCGTATTGTCATAGGAAACTGAGTTATTAATCTAACAAATAATCTCCTGGAAGAACTGGAAGAAGTTTTGGAGGAAGAGAGGCATCCCGAAAAAAAGGATATGGTGTCGAGAATGGCTTACACGGAGAGAAAGTCAAGGAGCTTCCACCAATTTAATAAGGGAGCTGAGATTTGAAGATCCTAAAGAATACAGAATGATGCTCAGAGTGACTACTGAAAAATTTGACTATTTGTTAGGCTTAATAACTCCATTAATCCAACGAGAGGACACTATTATGAGAGACGCTATCAAACCAGAAACAATGTTGGAAGTAACCTTGAATTACCTAGCAACTGGTAATAATTACAGAACCCTTTCTCATCTCTTCCGAGTTTCTAAATCAGCGATATCTATCATGATTCACATTGTTTGTGAAACTGTGTATGACTGCTTAAAGGATTTCGTAAAGGTATGTGAATAGATAATAATAGAATATTTTTAAAATTTTATTTAGGCTTCTTAATAAAAAAAAAACAAACAGATTCAATTGTAACATTTAGTTTGTCAAGTTCCATGCTTGCGAGATAATATCTCCGATACCAGCATCATCATTTGCAACTGTGTCCTCGTTCATGACCGGGTTGGTGATTGAATTGCGGAAGCCTCAGAAGCAGAACTGCTCATATTTAACACATTCAATCGATATTTTTGTATTACTCTATGAATTTCACCTTGCGCCATGATTGAATCACCAGCGGGCAGTTTATTTAAACTGGCTGCAATGAACTTGCCAAAGGCTTCATAGTCACTGATGGAATCAGAAGTTATTGTTTCCTGGACTTTTCGGATCTCTGCAACAGCTGCGGCTAGTGCTTCTATCCATGCTTTTTTATTTTTTGATCCTGCTTCTACTCGAGAACCTGTTTTACCAGTTAGAATTGGAGACGGTTCTTCAATGACTTGTCCCTCTAGCAGACCTTCTTCATTTTCGCTAGGTGGAGCGATTTGTGTTTCCTAAAATGAATAAAATACTAATTTAATATTTCTCATTTGCTTAATGATTAATTTTTATTTTTTGTTTATTTTTTCAGGTCCCTGATACACATGATGCATGGAAAAAAATTGCGAATGGGTTTGAACCAAGATTGAATATTCCTTTCTGTTGTGGTGCCAGTGATCGCAAACATGTCTTGGTCGAGGCTCCCCCACATACTGGAAGTGAATACTTCAACTATAAAGGCTCCTTCAGCGTGGTACCAATGGCAATTGTAGATCACAATTACTGTTTTTCTTATTTTAAAGTAGGGACAAAGGGGTCTAACTCAAATGGTGGTATTTTTCAAAACAGCGAAATTTCAGGAGCTCTAGAAGAAGGATTACTACCCGATGGTTGCTTTTTTGTTGGTGATGATGCTTTTACACTAAAACCCTATCTATTTAAGCCATATAGTAGATACCGACTACCTCTTACCAATGAAGAAAATATTTTCAATTATCGGCTTAGCCGTGCCAGAAGAATAGTGGAAAATGATTTTGGAATCTTAGCAAGTAAATTTCGTGTTTTTGAAACAAAAGTAAAGATAAAAGTTTCGTCTGTGAATAAACTGGTTAGTGCTACAACTGTAATTCACAACTGGCTACGAAAAACGTTACCAGATCAATACTTCAATAATGCACCATTGATTGATTGTGAAAACCAACACACTGGCGAAACAATACCTGGACAGTGGAGACAACAGATACGAGAACTGAGAAACTTACAGGGGGTACCTGAGACGAGGACGTCGGAGATAGAAAAACACATGCGAAACAAAATGAGGGATTATTTTATTCCTGAGGAAGGAGCAGTGCCTTGGCAACGAAATTTTATAAATTAGTTACCAGTTATTAAAAACAAAATATACTATTGACTTACTATGCTTTTCGTTTCATTTTCAGCTGTGTAGCTATCCATTATTTCTTCCATTTGTCGGAACCACTTGATGGTTGGAACGTATATATCATCCGGTTTACCTCCTCATTTCTTAGATTTTTTAACTTTCAACGCTTTCTGATCATTATCTTTATTTTTTGCTTTAATTCTGCCACCCCAAAACCTTCATATTCTATCCTGTTCAGCTGCTTATCGCATGTTTTTATTGCGATAGTTTACACTACTCTTCTTCCATAAACACTCTTTTTCACTATAGAGTTTAACAAAATGTATGATTTCTTCTTCTGACCAGTTCATCTTGTACAAATTCAACCTTAGTTCACAATTTGCAATATACCAAAGTCACCAAAATTATTTGCTTATCTGTGATCAAAATGGGTAAACAGTCTGAAAGAACACAGAGTACAAATCCACAATCCATGCGCAAAATCTTATTTACTCTTGCTTTTTCTGTTTACATTGGTAAAGTAGACGGTCAAGTTGGCGATCCAGTGAAGTGGGGGTAGCAGTCAAGTGAAGTTACTTGTTCACCGTGCAGAACCACTTGACTTGCCTCGTCACTTGACGCAAGTCACTACTTTACTTGACCGAAGTTGTTTAGACGATGCAAGTAGAAAAAAATACTTGACTTTACTGCTCAACTTGACCGTTTACTTGACCCGTGTAAACCCGGCTATAATGGTCAGGCGTACAACTATATTTGGAAATGTCAAGTCGAAAAAATTAAATTTTGGGAGGGGACTTCCTTCCACTATCGGAGGGCCAGCTTGTTCTGTTCCGCTAGTGCCAGAAGACCTGAAATTTTCCTACTCTTTTGCCTGGGGCATCTTCGTTGGATTGTGGAAAAAAATTTCGTAGATAATTTCCTGGGTCATTCTTGTTGTGAGTGCGTAGCATCTTTTTTTTGTCTACCTTGGACCCGAGACATTCTACAATTTGTAGGATCTTATTGTCTTCAGCCACACTTTTATCAGACGGAACCACGTGAAAAACCCCCTACCCGACATCATCTAGGTGAGCATTATTTTATTTTGAGTAAATGAAAATTTAGGCAAAAGACCATATTTTTCATATATATGTTTTCTCAAAAGTAAATAATTTCTCTTGTTCTAAAATGCAGTTAACTTAGTATTCTGTGGAGCATGCGTTGGTTTTATGATATTTTCCGAGTAACTCAAAGTGTAATTTTAAATCTGTTATACCTGGTGGTCAAAAATCGTAATTGAATTATCTAAAATATTTAATTTCTATTCGCGTATAATTAATATTCAATATTTGAAGATTACTTTTCCAATTACGTTAATTGTTGTTAACTAAATTTGTATTTTTTTTATACTGTTACATTCGATCGCCTGAATACTATTATTCTTCCTAGGGTTTTTATTTTGGGGGAATCTTCGCTACTGGAGATCCATTGACACGTTTTCTACCGGGGACCTCTTTCCGAACAGAGACCCCTTTTTCCACCATAGGGATTCTTACGTCATCGGTTTTGAAGCCTTCCTCGCCCATTTTTAATTAGTTAGTCAATAAGCTTTCGCATTATGGCTGGCTTAAATTTTTGTCGTTAGCCGTTAGTAGATGTAATAAAATGTATTGATGTTAATTTTGGCAATTATTTACCCACACAGAAAATCTATTGTTTGTATGTATTTTTGTTTTTGTTTCTTGGGGTTTTGGGCTAAAGAGTGCCTTTCAACACCAAGGCGTCTTCCAGTTTTGGCGGATAAAAGCTGGTGGCGCCCCTGAAAAAATACCCCCCTACTCACCGGTGTACCTGAGCATAGGGCCTATTTTGCCAACGTTAAACCACGGCTTTAGCCTCAGTAACCCCCTAGTTTTTTTTTAATCATCCATTGCCTCAATTGAGAGAAATAACTTAAGCTTAAAATTAAAAAGTGATCCTAATTTAAAAAAAAATAGCGTGGCAGTACTATTCTTTTGTATATCCAATTTTAAGCCATGGTTATGTACTTTGGAATCCTGATCTTAAATATCAAATAGATTCTTTTGAAAGAGCCAATCATGTCTTTTTAAGATATGTTGCATATAGAACTGGATTCCAATGAATTTTACCGATCACAACTACACAAATATTTCAAACAAAATTATGATTCCAACGCTTGAAAATGCTGGGAACAGGATTGATGTTTTATTTGCTTATAATTTATTTAATAACATTATTGATAATTTCAGTTTATCGTCAAAATTCAGATTTTATGTGCCACCAAGAATGTTAAGACGTAATAATGTTTATTTTCATGTTATGCCACCTAAATCAGATCTGATAAATCATTCTCCTGTTTTTAGATTATCTATACTATGTAATGAACACAGTAGTTGGCTTGATTTGTATAATTCGAGTAATTATATTGTTAGAAATTTATCAAAGTCTATGTTTACATTTGAGTAGTCTTTTGATTTTGTAATATTTGAATTTATGATTACCAGATTATTGCATTTCCTCATTTGAACATCTGTATTAAATTTCGCAGATGATTATGCTAATCTCAGTTGATTGCCTTATATACTAAGTGACATATAAATCCGAACACCCAGTTTAAATGGTTTTATTTTAATAAAAGTTGGTGAATGTATTTATCTTACTGTAAATAACAAGTGAAAAAATGTTCAACCTTATCAGTTGGACATTCCGGTTTTTATACTGCTTTTTCTTAATTCACTAACGCTCTAAAAATGAATATTTCAGCCGCAGTAAAGAATCAACGTTGGCGGATTTTGGTTCTTGACATCCTTTACGATCGGTTACGATGCCTAGAGTACGGAGACCTGTACGATTTCGTCAACTTAGTGAGTTTGATAGGGGCCGTATAGTGGGACTTCGGGAAGCTGGACTTTCTTTTCGGGCAATTGCAGTTAGAGTGCAAAGAAGTGTAGATACTGTGGTTAGGTGTTGTCAGGCATGGCTTCGAGAAAGCCGTACGCAAAGAGCAAGGGGCACTGGACGCCGCCGTAGAACAACAGACCGTGAAGATCGCCGCCTAAGATTATTGGCCTTAAGGGACCGTTTCTCCACTACCAGGTCCATTGCAAATGAATGGTCTGCAAAACACGGAAGACCAATTGGCATGCGAAGTGTTTACCGACGAATGAGAAGTTTTGGCTTGTTTTCATACCGGCCACACTGGGTCCTCCCTTTAACTCGAGAACACCGACGTAATCGCCTTGAGTGGTGCAGACAACGATCACTCTGGGATCAGTATTGTCTTTAGTGACGAGTCTCGATTTTGTTTAGACATGCACGATGGTCGTGCCAGGGTTAGAATGCGACGTGGTGAAAGGAGGAATCCACAGTTTTTTGTTGAAAGACATGTTCATCACACTGTTGGAGTTATGGTTTGGGGTGCTATAGCTTATGGTTCCATGTCACCTTTAATCTTCATCAGAGGTAACATGAACGCGCAGCGTTATATCCACGAAGTTCTAGAACCCCATCTTTTACCCTATCTTGACACCCTGGCAACAAGATAATGCCCGACCACATGTTGCAAGAGTCACAATAGACTTCTTTCAACATAATGATGTCACATTGTTACCATGGCCACCAAGATCTCCCGACTTATCCCCAATTGAGCACGTGTGGGATATGATGGGTATGAGATTGCTCAATTTGCAACGTCCTCCTCAGACTCTAGAAGCACTTCGACAGGAGTTGGTGGTTGCCTGGAATGAGATACCACAGGAGGACATTGACCACCTGATCAGAAGCATGCCTAGGCGCGTTGGAGAATGCGTAGCACATCAGGGTGCATCCACACATTATTAAAGGTCAAAGGGCTTTAAAGCAGTGCAATCATTTTGAAATTTTTATCATTTACTTATTATGCTTCATTAAGTACTTATACAAAATTTTATTAAAACAAAACCATTTAAACTGGCTGTTCGGATTTATATGTCACTTAGTATACATGCTGACAGTTTGAACAGCATTCTGGGAGTAGCTAGAAATTCTTTGGATAATCTATGATATGTTACACACCTGAGTGAAATATGTTTTTGTTTGCTTTTTTACTTGTTTGTTTTCTTCTTTAGATGAAATCACCGGCTTTTTATGTGTTTTCTGTTCTTGTTATTTTGATTTATCTCATTATTGTGCTGTAAATGGTTTTCTCAACTGTGCGGCATTAAACGCTATTTATTATTTATTATTATTATTATTATTATTATTATTATCATAGACATTGTTTGGGAGGGATGAAAATTGTGGTTTGGGAGGGATGAAAATTGTGGGTTGGAAGCTATATGCGGTAAATGGTTATAAATTGTTAAGAAGCTGCTGATCTCGGTGATACTATGCACCTGTTAGACATTATAAGTCACAAATATTCTCCCTTTATGTAGTTTGATATGCAGAGGTCATCGTACCTAAGTGAACCTACCTATCAAGATACTATTTCGCCCTTTTAAACTATACTAAGTGACATATAAATCCGAACACCCAGTTTAAATGGTTCTAACCCTGGCACGACCATCGTGCATGCCTAAACAAAATCGAGACTCGTCACTAAAGACAATATTGTTCCATTCCTGATCCCAGAGTGACCGTTGTCTGCACCACTCAAGGCGATTACGTCGGTGTTCTCGAGTTAAAGGGAGGACCCAGTGTGGCCGGTATGAAAACAAGTCAAAACTTCTCATTCGTCGGTAAACACTTCGCATGCCAATAGGTCTTCCGTGTTCTGCAAACCATTCATTTGCAATGGACCTGGTAGTGGAGAAACGGTCCCTTAAGGCCAATAATCTTAGGCGGCGATCTTCACGGTCTGTTGTTCTACGGCGGCGTCCAGTGCTCCTTGCTCTTTGCGTACGGCCTTCTCGAAGCCATGCCTGACAACACCTAACCACAGTGTCTACACTTCTTTGCACTCTAACTGCAATTGCCCGAAAAGAAAGTCCAGCTTCCCGAAGTCCCACTATACGGCCCTATCAAACTCACTAAGTTGACGAAATCGTACAGGTCTCCGTACTCTAGGCATCGTAACCGATCGTAAAGGATGTCAAGAACCAAAATTCGCCAACGTTGATTCTTTACTGCGGCTGAAATATTCATTTTTAGAGCGTTAGTGAATTAAAAAAAAGCAGTATAAAAACCGGAATGTCCAACTGATAAGGCTGACAATTTTTTCACTTGTTATTTACAGTAAGATAAATACATTCACCAATTTTTTTTATTAAAATAAAACCATTTAAACTGGGTGTTCGGATTTATATGTCACTTAGTATATTTGATTTATCCATTTTCTTTGAAGCGGCCCACGAACGATGAGGAAGTATAGAGTCAATCTGCTCGACGCCATTTTTTTCAATCGAAAAATATTTGAATGATTTAAAAAACCCTCCACTATGACTGTTGTATAAGGAACTCAAACAGTAGTCAAATTACCTGACATCGGCTAGCCAGCCCTCCACTTGAGATTAAAAAAACGATTAACTTTTCGCACTACTCATCTCACCTATTCATCGAGAGCATCTACCTCCCACGCAGATCCTTTTCTATAAAAATAATATGAGCGAATCTAAGGGAAAGTATTCTTTCCCTAGCCTGTGTGGGATCTCTTGAAAGTGCCATCCGCTCATTATATTCGATGATACAAAGGTGAGGACTTGATACGAGGAATGACTTGCGGAAATAGCTAAACGATTTTTAATTGTCGTATTGAGGACTTAATAAATTAGGGTGAAGCTTGACACGGCGATAGAAACATGGTAAAAATGATCAAGTAGATTCGATCAGTACTTTCCACGCATTTCAGGTGTTTGAAGCTAGATCAAAATATGCTGGTTGTTTTAAAAATTGCACTGCTAGAAAATTAGCATGTCTCTTGAAGTGTCTAGAAATTTAATATGGATTGAGAAACCAAGTAGTTTTTCGATGAGGCACCGCAAAAATTGAACACAAAGCTTCTATACGTCTTAAAATATTTCGTTTTGTTCTGTGCACTTCATCTCTTATGGTCCAATTCTCAAAACCTTCAAGGCTTTTTTGTCACCATTAATTTGTAAAATCAAGAGAATTCCGCCTTACAACACCAGGATTTTTTATTTCTCACGCCAACTGCCGAGGAAGTATTGTAATGGCAATTTTGAAATTTAGATATGGTTTTCGGATGTTATATGACATGTACATCACGAAACACCTTATCACTCATGTCCGTCGTCTGTTAAACATTAAGTTCTCTTTTTGTCTCGGGACGAAGAAGCGGTCGTATCGGCCAGTTCTTGATGTGCTGTGACTTGTGGAGCAGTTGCAATCACGTCGTCGTTATTTTCCCGATTGTTTGTTGTATAATTAGAAACCTCTTTTATAATCTCTTCGTCAGACATTTCATGAGAAACGTTTTCCTCTTTATCCATTCCACGGCACCAGATTTCCAAATCTTCCGGACTTATCTGTGTTTCAGTAGCGACTTGTTCTATAACTTCCGAAGTAACACTCATTTGTGGAACGTTGCTATATACTTTTTCCAAGACGATTCAATAGTTGATGACGGTAACGCATTTCACGACTGACAAAGAGCAGAAACCAAGTCTTTCGTATTAAATTCTTTTAAAGTTTTTTCTATTGGTTGCTCTTTTGATACGGCTTTCAGAAGTGGGTTTTTCT